TTCTAAGGTACAAGCTTCATCTGCCTGTGCAGGTGCGCAAGATTGCGCGGGTTTTATCTGCCTGCTTACGCAGATTACTTTATTCCCAGGCTTTCTTTGACGGCTGCAGAAATAAGCACTAGGCCGGGGGTGGTACAAAACGCCTAAATTAGCTCTCTATATTTCTCTAGGCTCTAAATGTACACACGACTAAATGTATGAAGTACAAAGCAGTTCATAACAATTTTAGTACCAGGTAAAGAAAGGAACCATCGAATCATGAGAGATCCTAAGTGGCACGCTAGAACGCTTGTAAAATACATTTTGAAGCGATCTTGGCGAATTTGTCTCTAGATGAGTGTGAAATTAAAGGAATATATATATATATATATATATATATAGTGGTACAAGGTGTTTTTTAACGTAGTAACAGCGATGAAAACGATTCTTCACAGTCAGAAAATGATCGACTAAAGAGATATATTAATTTGTGAAAAAGCTGTTAAGACATGTACAGCTTGACAGTTATTATTCTTATATATGAAAAGCGTCTTCTGAATCACCATCGTGGCCTCATTGATATCCCTATGAAAAGAAATATTTCCTACAACCGCGGGTAATGTATTAAAACAACCTTTACCCTCTACCCCAAGAAGCAAAACATCACCCCCCNCCCCTCCCCCCACCGCGCACGTTCTGGTGGTTAAATCCTCAATTGATATGTAAGAAACTTTAAATGCGTTTTGTTCAAATGTCTCCATTTAAACCAACTGACCTAACGGCGATGTTTCTTCTTTGGAAGGTAATTATGGGGATTTCCCTGAAACCTGAGGTATTCGATGGCCAATTTTCTCTTAATGAGTGCAATCGCATGCAATTCATCGTTCTTCATCACATTTAAACAAAGTTTTTGGTTCTTTCTATGTAGAGTAAATCTTTATTTCTACAGGGTGGCCAATTCAGCTCGAAGGCTGGTATCTATAGGGGCCCTGTAAACAGTAAACGATAAAATAATATAAAATGGGATAAAATAATTGTCGTCGGATGATTAGCCTCTTCAGGCCTTCAGTTAGTTGGGGCGCAGCACGAAAAATGGTGCAAGAAAAAAATATGGGAGAAGCGCAGAGCAGGAAGATCAGAGAACTCCTGTAAGCATTGTTAACAAAAGTTCCTTCCGCCCACTTTGCCTTTAACATGACGACTGATTGTCGGGGGTATGTGGTTTTCAAGGTGACACTCATGGTCTACACTTCTACAGTTCGTGACATCTCAGTATATTTACTTTTTATTAATTAATTCCAGTCTTCTGCTCTTTTCTGCTTCGCAGTGAAGTGCTTTATGTGCTACAGCGCATTTCCTAGGTGAGGAGTTTTTAAAAGACATGCGCTCAGGAATGATGAGATATTTTCAGACTGTCTGTAACTTGATGTCGGTATAATGATCAAATTGTTCGCTTGTTCGATTATTCCCCGCTTTTGGGCCCAGGTGAAATACCGTACTTTTTGAGACAACCGAATTTTTAATTCGGCAAAATTAACAATTTCGACTCTTTGTAATTGGACACCCTTGCCATTAGCAAGTCAATTACGTGGGCTGTAATAGCTTCCTTCTTATGAATGTTCCCTGCAGTTTTTACAACTTATGGAAAACAATACTGACTTTTACGC